AGAAGAGAAGAGAAGAGAAGAGAAGAGAAGAGAAGAGAAGAGAAGAGAAGAGAAGAGAAGAGAAGAGAAGAGAAGAGAAGAGAATTCTTTATTGGCCAAGTGTGATTGGACACAGAAGGAATTTGTCTTGGTGCAAATGCCCTTGGTGTACATAAAAGAAAAGATATATTCGTCAAGAGTCAAGAATCATAAGGTACAATACTTAATAATAGCCATAGGGTTATATAGTCATAGGGTACATAGTAAATAGAATATAGTCATAGGGTAGCAATCAAATCATACCAGTAAACAGTCAATAAAAATCATTAGGATCACAAGGTTACAGTCATGCAGTCACAAGTGGGAGGGGATGTGTGAAAGGAGTGATGAGAAGATTAATAGTAATAGTAATGCAGACTTTGTAAATAATTGGATAGCATTGAGGGAATTATTTATTTAGCAGAGTGATGGTGTTGGGGAAAAAACTGTCCTTGTGTCTAGTTGTTCTGGAGTTGACACAGTTTGTGTCCGGGATGTGAAGGTCTGCAGATATTTTCCCAGTCCTCTTTTTGACTCGTGCAGGACACAGGTCCTCCATGGAAGGCAGGTTGGTAGCAATTGTTATTTTCTGCAGTCCTTATTACTCTCTGAAGTCTGTGTCTGTCCTGCTGGATTGCAGAACCGAACCAGACAGTTATAGTTATAGAAGGGTAGATGACAGACTCAATCATTCCTCTGTAGAACTGGATCAGCAGCTCCTTGGGCAGTTAATTCAAGATTTCTCCCAATTTCTTTAGACAACTTTAGCCAAGTTCTTCAGGGGAAACTCGGTCTTTTCGGGATTGGAGCGTCTGCATTGGGGCATGACCACGTTTCAGACTTGCAAGTGATTTCGCCCATTGGGAATGAACTTGGTTTCAAGGAGGCTTGTAACTAAGGTTAAAAACCAAGTGGGATTAGCAGTGGATAGATTTTTGACAGAGTTCAAATTTGTGTTGAAAGCTGAAATTGCGCTGGGATTTTTGGGGGGTACGCTGCAGCTGCCCCCCCAAAAAAACCAATGCAGTCTTAGACTGCATCACCAGAGGGACAGAATCCAGATCATGTGAAATGTTAATACCACTTTATAATGGCCACACAGGGAATATCGCATCCAGTTTTGATCACCACGATACAAAAAAAAAAAGAAGAAGAAGAAGATATTGGGAATCCTAGAGAGAGTGCAGAGAAGAGCAACGAAGACAGTTAAGAGGCAGGAGGCTAAAACATACGATGAAAGATTGCAGGAAGTGGGTATGTCTAGGCCCATCAGAGAAAGGACTTGGGGTGTCATGATAGCAGCAGTCTTCCGGTACTAGAGGGGCTGCCCCAAAGAAGAGGGAGTCAAGCTATTCTCCAAAGCACCTGAGAAGGCAGGACAAGAAGCAACGGGTGGAAACTCATCAAGGAGAGGTCCAACCTACAAATAAAGAGACGTTTCCTGACAGGGAGGACAATTAATCCGTGGAATGGCTTGCCTCCTAGAAGTTGTGGATGCTCCAACACTGGAGGTTTTTTTAAGGAGAGATTTGTTCAGAGCGGTCTAGGGCAGGGGACTTCAGACATGACAGCTTGAAGACTTGTGGGCTTCAATTCCCAGAATTCCGCAGCTAACATGACTGGAATGAAGGAATTCCAGGAGTTGGAAGTCCGCAAGCCTCGAAGCTGTCCAGTCTGAAGAGCCTTGGTCTAGGGTCTCCTGCTTGAGCAGGGGGTTGGACTAGAAGACCTCTAAGGTCCCTTCCTCCTCTGTTATTCTGTGGATTTCTTGAAAGCACTAACTGCCACCCAGTTGCTCTTTGGGGAGGTTGTTTTGAACCCACCCTCACGCCACCCCACCCCAAGGAAGGAGGAAAAACAGAAGTAACCGAAGTCTAACCTTGGCTTGGCGTGACCTACATGCTTGGAGAGGGCTTTAGAGGGTGTGTTTCTCAGATCAGTCATGATGAAACTTGACAGGGCTTTCACAGCAAATGCTCTCCTGTCTCCTCAGCCGGGTCTCCAAGCATCCAGATTCAGACAGCTGTGTTTTCCCCCACCCGGGGAGGGTGCAGGCAGCCTTGGGTGCTGTCAACAAGAGCCCGTCTCCTAGTAACGGCTGCTTGGAAACCGTTGCTGGTGCCGGGAGAAATTCCCGCCGTGGAAGTCGGAGCCCGGTCAGGTAGAGGTGTGTGAACCTTCCCCCTTGAAGCAGCCGGAGAGAGCATATTCCTTCTCTGTCTCTCCCTTTGGCTCCAGTCCTGCCCCAGTCGGGTGGGGCGTGTCTCTGCCTCTCTGTGGGGGCTTTCCCACAATGCCCCCGTTCTGGGGGCTGTCAGGGGCATTGTGGGAAATCAAAAGCAGAGCAGGGCTCTTGTGGATGTGTAGCTTTTAAAGGAGCCATGAATCCTTGCAGTGGGAGGTACTGAGCTCTAAATAGGCAGGGGGTGTAAAACAACCCCTTCGGTACAGGTGTGGAACCGCCTGGTATCGCCGGCATCGTTTCCATCTGGTTATTTGGCTTTATTTTTATTTACAGAGTTATATTTATGTACTATCAGACTTGAGCTGACAAGTATCCAGTTAAGCTAGGATTCTGGGGAAGTGAACTGCAGACCAAATCTTTGGAAAAGGAAGGGGGAATTGGATAAGGTCGTCCTGGCAGGACTCAAGCGTGTTCAAGTGTGCTGTCAAATAAGACCAGGGGGAAATACAGATGGGGGAAACAGGCACCTTAGAAAGGAAGATTGCCTCCTGTTTAGAGCTCCCTTGATGTGGAATTTTTTTTTTTACTCATTTCAGTTTTAAAAATCTCAGGTCACTGATCTGTTCCAAAGTGATTTTTTTTCTTTCCCAGTGAAAGATGATAAATAGGTAGGTAGATAGATAGACAGATAGACAGACATATGAGATAGATGATGGAGGGATGAATGGATGGATGGATAAATAGAGGGGGAGAGAAGGAGATAAAGAGAGCGGGTAGATGTTCTCGAACGGGGTGCCGAATGTGTTAAAGGGCCCCATTTCCTAATTTTATTACTAACTGGCCTCTTTGTGTATTTGTTTTGGATGCTTCTATTGTTTTTCATTGTTTTAAAATGATGTCAGGATCTTCGTTGTAATATATTTTGTGAATTTTAAGCCACCCAGAGTCATTGACTGAGTTGGATGACTATAGAAATTGAACAGATGAGAGAGAGAGAGAGAGAGAGAGAGAGAGAGA